CTTTCTTTCTTTCTTTCTTTCTTTCTTTCTTTCTTTCTTTCTTTCTTCTTTCTTTCTTTCTTTCTTTCTTTCTTTCTTCTTTCTTTCCTTCCTTCCTTCCTTCCTCCCTCCCTCCCTTCCTTTCCCATCTTGCAGTTTAGGTGACTCTTTCTCAGTGCTGTTCTAACTTCAAACAGTTGGTAAATTAATGGTTGTAAGTCAAGAAATACAGGTAGTCTTTGACTTACAACAATTCGTTTAGTAACCAAAGTTACAACGGCAATGAAAATAGTGATTTATGACCATTTTTCACACTTATGGCTGTTGCAGCATCCCCATAGTCACATGGATTTACATTTGGATTCTTGACAACCGACTCATATTTATGACAGTTGCTGGATTCAGGAGTCAAAGTCAATGGAGAAACCAGTTTCACTTAACAACCATGTTACCAATTTAAAACTCCAGTGATTCACTTAACAAATGTGACAAGAAAAATCATAAAATGGGGTAAAACTCACTTTAAAAATTTCTCACTTAACAACATAAATTTGGGGCTCAATTGTGGTCATAAGTTGAGGACTACCTATATCTGTAAACACCTGCCTTAACTGGGAATTTTATTGTCTTATTTAATTATGCTTACTGCAGCTCAACTACAATGAAGTACATAACCAGTACTTTTGCCTCTTGGTAGCTGCTTCCCCGTTGCTTCATGCAAAAGAGTCAAACATCAGGCATCTATAAACTAGAATTTACCCTTATGTTATCTAACATGAATACACATTGAAAAATGTAAGACCAAGAGATCTGCTTAAGAGTCATGGCATTTTAAAACAGAGAACACTTTTTAAGTCAGGCAAATTGCTCCAGGTCCCAACAGGCAATGCTGATGAGACTCTCAAAATTTATGAATGACACCTATAACTTTATTTTTACTGGCAATATTGCTGGGGCACAAAGGATTTACAATCAAACATCTGGGACTGTCAGAAAAATCTGAATCAGATGCATTAAAAATCATACATACTTACAGCAATTGGAAAATAATTAACCCCATACATCTCCAAGTCTTGTGCTATTTTAAGATAGTTCATCTCAGCTTCGTATCTAGAAGAATGGGATATTTATTTTTAAAAAGACTTGAAAAGAATTATTCTTGTTTTATAAAGGAAACATTGATCTATATTACTGTCACCCCAGGCTGTATTTACGGGCTGTGAAATACTTTTGCCTAGCCTTATTACCATTGCTAATCAAAGTGGTTTACAAATTGCACTATAGCCTCTATACAAATCACATGAGTAGATGGGACAATTGGAGTGGAATGGAGTGGAGTGGAGTGGAGTGGTATAGAATAGAATAGAATAGAATAGAATAGAAAAGAATAGAATAGAAAAGAATAGAATAGAATAGAATAGAATAGAATAGAATAGAATAGAATAGAATAGAATAGAATAGAACAGAACAGAATACTTTATTGGCCAAGTGTGTTTGGACACACAAGGAATTTGTTTTGGTGCATATGCTCTCAATGTACATAAAAGAAAGATACATTCGTCAAGAGTCAAGAATCATGAGGTACAACACTTAATAATAGTCATAAGGGTACAAAAAGCAATCAAATCATACTAGGAAACAGTCAATAAAAATTGTTAGGATACAAGCAACAAGGTTACAGTCATACAGTCATAACTGGGAGGGGATGAATGAAAAGAAGGATGGAAGGATTAATAGTAATAGTAATGCTGACTTAGTAAATAGTTTGACAGTGTTGAGGGAATTATTTGTTTAGCAGAATGAGGGCGTTCGGGATAAAACTGTCCTCGTGTCTAGTTGTTCTGGTGTGCAGTGCTCTCTAGCGTCGTTTTGAGGGAAGGAGTTGAAACAGTTTTTGTCTGGGATGTGAAGGGTCAGTAAATATTTTCACAGCCCTCTTTTTGACTTGTGCAGTATACAAGTCCTCGATGGAAGGCAGGTTGGTAGCAATTGTTTTTTCTGCAGTCCTAATTACTCTCTGAAGCCTGTGTCTGTCTTGTTGGGTTTCAGAACCAAACCAGACAGTTATAGAGGTGCAGATGACAGACACAATAATTCCACCATGACATAGAAATAGCTTCACTTGGCACATCAAAAACAAATTGGAAATATGCTGGGACAAGTTTTACATTCAGCTAAATGATCCCCAATTGAAAAATGCCTTCTCTGGAAGGATATTTTGAAGTCCTGATAATGCTATGTAAAAGGTTCTGCTCTTAGGACAATCTGTCAAACATCTAAAAGCTTTGGACAGAGCAGGCCACAAACAGTGATGGTCAGATTCTCGAAAAAGATCATTTTTAAGCAGACATGTTGCGTTTACTCTTAAAAAGACTGGAACCAGTACTTTAAATGAAGTGCTGAAAAAACTAGTTATTTATTGACTTATTAAATTTGTATGCCGCCCATCTTGCCTAGCGGTGAGATCAACAACCAGGAGCAGAGTGATGAGAGAACATGAGTTTCTGAGTTCCCACCTGTTTCGATCAAACTTTGTATCAAGAAGTGAATTCAAGGGTTAGGGTTGGCTTCTAATATGTTCCATGGAAAGAATAGATGAATATGGGCAGAGTGTCAAAGTCATGAAATGTGTATTGTGACATCCTGATTTTTTTTATCCTACTTTTATTATTTTTATAAATAACTCAACACCATGAACTCCTTCCTATTTTCCCCACAACAATAACCCTGTGAGGTGAGTTGGGCTGAGAGCCACCTGGCCCAAAGTCACCCAGCCAGCTTTCATGCCACAGGTGGGACTAGAACTTACAGCCTCCTGGTTTCTAGCTTGATGCCTTAATCGATAGAAACTGAAACCCTGCCCTTTGTCCTTTTGTCATGATGTTGCACAAAAATATGGAAGGAGTGTAACTTCCATCACAGTGTTGCACACAAATTTGGAAGGGGCAGAAAGTGTGTCACTGCCCTCCCCCGCATACCAGATGCAAATGGATGCGAGTCCTTTTTTTCCAAACTACAGTTACAAAGCAAAGGGTGCTGCAGTACCTGGCCATTCCCTGGTGTCCAGCATAACAGGCAGTAATCCTTTCTTCCCACATGTCAGGCGTCATCTGATATTGACGGAGAACCTAGATAAAAGAAAAATAAAGAACAAAAAGAAAACAATGGAAAAAGTATTTATTTTTCAAACCTCAAGAAGGCTGTTTGTTCATGCAGGTATGACAAACTGGAAAGTCCTGCAGAAGTATATATGACTTAAAATGTTGCAGGATTAGAAACAAACTCAGGGATGTGCTGCTGGGGGTTCGCAGGGGTTCGGGAGAGTTCCTAGCTAAGATTCTGTGTAATTCAGAGAACCCCCAGATCCCACTCCTGGCTGGCCCCGCTCCACCCACGCCGCCACTCCCAGGCAGCCCGTTTTGGATGCAGGTAAGTGCAGCGCGTGCATGGAGGTTTGGGGATGTCAGAAAATGGGCCTCCTGGAAGTTTGGGAAGGCCGGAAATGGGCCCGTTTCCAGCTTCCAGAGAGTTTGCAGAGCCCAGGGAGGCCGTTTTCACCCTCCTGGAAGCTCAAGGAAAGCCTCTGGAGCCTAAGGAGGGCAAAAACAACAACAACACCCTCGCCATGGTGCAGGAGGCCCACTAGGCCACGCCCACCATGGCCACACCCACCCAGCAACTGGGCAGAGAACCCTTTGCTAAAATTTTTGAAGCCCACCCCTGAGCAAACTGTCTCCCATTTCCAGAAGTCTTTCAGCTTGTTGGCAACTTAATAGAACACTGCTAACTTTAGGTTGATTTTGTCATAAATTCCCCTTTTGTGAAGAGCAGTCTGGATTCTATCTGGAAGAAGAATAGAAACACCATCAGATTATAACTCGGTTCTGAGCTCATTACCCAGGAGTTCTCTGGAGAAGATATCTTGAAGGAGAAACTTCCCTTCATAGCTAAGAATTCACATTCTCCAATAGTTGCTTGAGAACTGAGGAGCATCAGAATTTTAAAATTTCCCACTCTCTGTAGAAAACAAGGAGAGGAACAATCTGTCCAAAAAGGGCGAATAGAAATTGCTGGTCTTTGGGAAGTAGTTGTTTTATGAATCATGCAAACCCGTTGCTCCCTATCTGGCTAATTCTGCTATTTTGGGTATCTGAGGTTTCCTATTCACGACCAGGAGGACAGGAAAGTGTGAAAACACTTACTCTTTTTGGCAAAAGCTCTTCTGGAGCTAAGAAACCTGGTTTGTGCAGATTTGGGTCATAGTCACCATACTGTGAGGGAAAGAAGTATCAAATGAGTCGACAGAAGAAGACTGTATGCAAAGAATTAACAGCATAGTATAAGATCTAAATTAACACTTTTAAAAAAGAGAGAGAAAACACTGAATCATTTGATCATAAAATAACCATTAAAAATGGCTAAAGTTCTAAAAGATTTTTACAAGTGAAATCTGAAGGATGATGTAATTCTACAGGAGAGGAAAAAAAACCTGTCAAAAATCATTTTCCTGAGAATTTTACCTTCCTGTTCTTTAGGACTGACAAAATATGCTTGAAATTTAACCAGTTAGTACCAAACATACCCTAGTTTACAGCTCAAGAAGAATCCAGTGCCATAACTCTTGATGGATCCCCTTTCGATTTTGTTGTCAACTCCACCAACACAATTAAGCAGGGGTCCAGCTGTAGTTTAAGCACCGATGACTAGGAAAAGAATATCTTAATGTCCTCTTAAAGAGAGAACTATAATTTAGTAGTATGGCTTTGTAATCAAACCATCCAAGTTGGGCTTGTCCATAAGCTGGACTTGTCCATTCTCTATAAACCTTAGTTTTTATAACAATGGTTGTTGAATAATGCATGGATGTATACAATACCTTAATCATTAAACCAGTTTTATAGATCATGATTCACAGGTTTCTCAAAACATTATGCGCTTTGGTGCCAAACCATCAGCCCTATTGAAATTGAGTGCCAAGATCTTGCATCAGAATGGGTAACAACGTAGGCAACAGAGTGTAGTGTTCTTATGGGGTTCTTTTTATTGATTGCTGTTTGTTTTTCCAGATTTCTGATGATATTTGTGTCTATAGATTCATTTAATAAACCTTCCAGAGTTGTAACACATTGGGGCAGAGTATAAATTTCATCAATCAATCAATAAACATGTAGTGTCACCGAGTCCCACAATTTAATCCCAGCCATCTCCAAATAGGTAGACCACCACTAGCAGTATAACGGGACAAATATGACATCTCACTGGGAGTATATATTATATGTCCAAAGACATTTAAGGATAATGAAAGGCAAAACTTTACCTCATTTCATTTGATCTAACTCAGTTCTGGACTAAAGCTGGCTGATTTCTGCCAGTAACTAGCAAGGGTGGTTATAGCAGCTCTCTGTTCAGTGCTAAGAAAGGTAGGATGGAACAGTTACAGTTACACACACACACCCCTTTAACTGTCTGAAGGACAACTCAGGGAAGAGGAAAGGTCAGGAGGAGACTCTTGGAAGGAAAATCCATCTGGTTCAGGTCCAATCCGGGAATAAAATAAAATGGAGTCTGATTGGAAAGAAAGTTTAATGATGAACAGAAACAACAGCAGTCCTGGGTGAGCTGAACAACTAGCTAGATGAATGCCAGGATTTTATACAGGTCCTGAAATGCTGCTGGGGGTGGGTGGGTTGTATAATATCTGAACTGCACTTAGGAAATTGTGCAATGTAGTGAGCTCTGTGTCTTCTGCTAAATAGTAGTGGGCTAATCCTAAATGGTCATGTCCTGTTCTTAGAATTTGGGTGGAGGAGAATGTAAATTTTTAATTCCATGGCTGGAGGTGAAGGTCTTTTGTTTCTGAATAGGCTGGCCCAATCTTTCTTAATGGGCACAAAATACTCCTGGGGGCTATTAAGAAAGACTCAGTCTGCTTTCTGTCTTTAAGAGCAGTCAGTCTCTTCCCCCGCCCCACCCCCACCCCCGAAAGCCATCACTTTGCTAAACAAATAATTCCCTCAACATTGTCCAACTATTTACAAAGTCTGCACTACTATTACTATTAACTTTCTCATCACTCCTTATCACCCATCCCCTCCCACTTGTGAGTGTATGACTGTAACTTTGTCGCTTGTATTCTTACAATTTATATTGACTTTTTCCTAGTATGATTTGATTGCTTATTGTACCCTGACTATTATTAAGTGTTGTACCTTATTATTCTTGACTCTTGATGAATGTATCTTTTTTTTATGTACACTGAGAGCATTTGCACCAAGACAAATTCCTTGTGTGTCCAATCACACTTGGCCAATAAAAGAATTCTATTCTATTCTATGTTTCTCAGGAAATATAATATTCTGCATTTTTAATATTTCCCAGAATATTTCATTCTTCTAGAAGGGGGAGTTTTCCACAAGACTTTATGCAGGAATTCCTCAAATGCATGCTGCAGAATTATTTTTAATTAAGAAAAAAGGGGGGTAGGGAAGAAAAACTATCACTTTACAGGTAGACCATAACTTATGACTGTTCCATAGATCATAAGTCATGATGGTCGTATAATGGGTCACCCACATGACTGACTCAAGTTTACAACATTTTATGCCATGGTCATAAAGTGAATGCTGTGATTGTAAAATGAAAGCCACAGTCGTTAAGTAAACCCATTGTTTGCTAGATCCGCCATAACTTCACTAAGTAACAATCATATGTTTAGAACTGTCTGTACTCAGAATGCCCTCTGCAGTCTAAACTGAATTTTATTCCACAGTGGTTTTTTGTTTTTTTCAGTCTCCACTCTGCATTTTAATCCACTGACCTCCCCTGAAATCTAAATGATGTACTCATTAAAGAAATCTGCAAAAAAAAACTAAAAAAGGAGACAGATGAGGAGAAAAATATACCGCTTCCTATTTCTAACTAAGCTTCAGCAGATCCTTTTCTGTGTTAATTAACACTCTGTGCATATGTGTTATAAAAGGCGACAAACTAACAATTATAAAGCCTCACCTTGGCTTGAACTGCATAAGATGCCAATAAAATTGTAGCCTCGGGAGAACAGTAGATTTCTTCATCCAATATTTGTTTCTTAACCTAAGACACAAGGTGGAAAAAAAAGAAGAAAAATCTAAGACTCGGCCAAAGCTTGAAAACAAAATAATAGACACCCAGACTTTGTTTTGGCACCTGAAATGTAACCATTAGCTGAGTTTATGAGTGAAAAATAAATAAATAAAAGAAATGTTGGCCGCTGTAGAGACATGCAGAAAAATACCAAGAATATTCAAGTTACATATGCTTTTAAAGCATGCTGCATAATTTACTACATTCTAAACCATAATTTCCATTTGGAAGATCAGATCAGTAAGGGATTATTTAGTCCACTCTTCTGTTTCGTTAGCGATCAGCCAGATACTGAGAAAAGCACAATAGAGCAAGCAAAGTAGAAAGGTTATAATTCTCCACTATGATTTGTTTTCCACCATAGAAATATAGAGTATCAGGATTAATCAGGGGGAAAAAATCTAGCAAATCAGACCAAAGATCCATCTAATCCAGCATTCTATTTTCCAGAGCAGCTAAAAGCTTCTTCAAAAGGCTTGAAAACAATTCCTGTGCTTGCTTTGGTTCTTTATCTTTCTGAGACACACTGTATTTGCATGTAGGGGCTCATTCAAATACTCTTCGGGTCACTGTTGTTTGGACAAGCTTAAACATTCCATTCAGTCCCATAAACACGGCCTGGTAAACTCCAGAAAACAATGCTGCATTATGTTGTGTTCTTCTTTTGTGTGTTCTGAATGAACCATCAAGCAAAAAAAAATATTTTGTTATTTTGAATGTTAGCAATTTGAGAAAAAAGAGAGAGGGAAGTTCCCACTATACCTTTTGTGCCATTGACAATTTTATTTCAAGCTTGTAGAAAGTGTGCCCCTTCAGCATTACTCTCCTATGGGAACTGTAATCAGATAACAGGATCAGATGGCTAGAGTTCCCAATTCTGCATAATGTATTCCCTCACCCTATCTTATCTCTCCCTTTTCTGACTCCTGTCTTTTTAATAAAGTTTGAGTTTATTTCTCTTCATTCCTTGTTCATTTTGGTAGCTGCTTTTTTTAATTGGGATGTTTAATATAGCATATGGTGGAAAACACCCTTATTTTCGCCGAAACATAGAAGGCTATAGTACCAGAGGACTGCAGAATCTCTGCCTAGAAAGATAAGTTGATTTCTAAACTGTATTTTAGAAGGCAAGCAAATAGCTGTTCAGGCATTTATGGAATAACTGTGCCAGGATCAAACTGAGTTGTGGTTGGGTGTTCTACTACTTTTCTTTTGCTTTTTTAAATGAGCCCTGTATAGATTTCCAAATTTAATGTTTTAAATATTGTTGTTTTTTCCTACTAATTTGTTGTAGCCATTCTGGGTTCTTTTTAGAATCCAGTATAGAAATAATGATTAGTGGCAATTAAAATAATTAAAGCTCAGGTCTCTTCCTAAAGTCTGAAAAGGGGACAGCCTAAAGAAGTCAACCGGAAAATCAAATTTATTTAAATATGTAAATCACTGGGCCAAAGTTACTGGGCTGATCTCTATGACTAAACACTGTGACTTTCTCATTCCTCCTGCAATCAGCGGAACTGCCTTCTACATAATAACTTTGCATTATTAAACCAAGCAAATGGTTCAATACATTTTAGTAGGTTGAATGTCATACTGTAAGTATACAAATGCTTGTATATGTTATTGTCCCACTTTTACCCCAATTATACTGCAAATCTAAATTTTAATGTTAGGAAACCCAGCAAGTTCAAGCGTGTTGCTTTGCCTTCCTCTTTTATGTTTCTTTTGGAACTGCAAAAAAATTCCCCAAACTACATTCCTCCAAGGGGAACAAGCCAAGGCAAGTTTGAAGGAACTGCAAAAAAATGTGCAGCTTTCAGGGAGATTAAAAGAAAATGAACAGAAAGGAAAGGAGAAACAGCCTTCTTTCCAACTAGCTCAACCCACATAATTGTTAAGGCAATGGTGAAAAGCAGAAACCCGCCAGGAAATTGATCCTATCTACTGGATCAACTCTTCCAAAGAAAAGTTTCCTAAAAGAAAAGTTAGTTCCAAGGAAATAACAGAAGCATCTGTTCAGGGTTTTAGCTGTTTACATTAAACTAATTTGTGAAATCCAGCACCCCACTCTGATTGATAATGATCAAATAGGGGTAGGGTTTGCTTCTTTTGATACCCTAAGTCAAGGGGGTCAAACTCAAGGTCCATGGGCTGCATGAGGTCCATGGGGTGCTTAGATCTGCTACACGGGGCCACCCTGGAAACAGTGAAGGTGCCTCTGCCAGTGAAAACAGAGCTTGGGAGGCAGAGGTGGTATTCAGCAGGTTCTGACCAGTTCTGGAGAACCAGTGGCAGAAATTTTGAGTAATTCGGAAAACCAGCAAATACCACCTCTGACTGGAGATTTTACAGTATCCTTCCCCTGCCACGCCCACCAAGCCACGCCCATAGAACTGGTAGTAAAAATTTTTTGAATCCCACCACTGTTGGGAGGGCCGTGAGCAGCCATCCCAGGCTCCGTTTTCAGCCGGGACGGCCTCCTGCAGCCCTCTGCCAGAGAAAACAAAGCTTGCCCCTCCCCCGAGCTCCGTTTTCGCTGGCAGAGGGCTGCAGGAGGCCGTTGTGGCTGAAAACAGGACCCAGGAGCACATTTTCGTTGGCAGAGTGCTCGGGCCACCACAGGCACCCCCCTACATGAGCAATGTCAATGCTGGCCAATCCCCCCTGGCCACGCCCTCCCCCAGGTCAAACACAACCCTGATGCACCCCTCAATGAAATAGAGTATGTCTCGAAGTAATTCCTTTTCCTGCAGAACAGGATGGCACACAAAAATATTTGCTTTTCAATGCCAGATGAAATTCTGGCTGGCTTTTCACCTAAGGGCTGACTAAATATACCATTTTGTCCCTTTAAAAATCTGTTTCTTTTCTTTATTGCATTGTGCTTGTTTCTGATTTAAATTGTTAAGGTGTCGCTCATTTTTATTTCACTTTGCTTGTTTTATGGATGATAGCTTTTCCTGAGATCCTTTTGTGAGCTATAAATACTTTAATCAATGAATAAATGTTTTCTGGATCCACTCCCTCCCTTCGCCAGCTTCTTGGACTGGAGCATCCAGGTCATTTTGCCCACTCACACTGCACACAGCCTTCGCCTTACACCTGCATGACATTTTCACACTTCCACAGGCTGGCAAATAAAGGCAAGAGATGCAACTTTTACAAAGGACAAGGAGTCCCTCTGCACAGCTTTTGGCAAACAATATCCTTACAGCCTCAAATTACATCAAAGTACTTATAAGTGAGGAATAATGCAGAGCTGCTCAAACATGTGTTTAAGAACTACATAATATGATTTCACCTAAAAGTTTTGATCGATTTTGACAGAACATCATAATATAAAGTTTTCCATATCGGTTGCAGCAGAGTCAGGTGATTGCTTAAAAGGGGAGGGGTGTTAAAACAATTTAAAGTTGGGGGTGAGAGTTGAATGCCAGAATCTCTTCATCTCACATACGTAGCATTTCTCAATCTTAGCAACTTTACAATGTGTGAACTTCAACTGCTAACATTCCCCAGTCTATTTCTTAATCATAAATCATCACATATTGATTCCCTTAGGACAGTAGGATATTTTTTGATACCTCCATCTACTTCCCCATAATTGTTTGGAGGACTAGCATAAAAGACATGGTAGAAAGTGGGTTACACACACACATACAAAAGTACTGATGTTTCGTGACTATCAGGGCTGGTGATGGTGGTATGGCTGTTTTAGTGATTTAAAATAGTCCATTTTCTCTCATTTGGCCTTTTGCTATAATCCTCTTTTAGTTATATAAATGTTGAGGCCTTTCCAAAAGGACAGAACTTCTGAAAAAAGTACATTAAGCTACTTGGATCTTTGAGCAACAATTAATTAAAGGGAAAGGGCTTGCAAATTATGCAAGCCTTTAAAAACAGAAAACAAGGCTAATATCAGAAGTCAGTGTTGTGGAAATAAGACATGATATATAATCCAACAAAGGGATTACTCTCATTTCCCAAGGCTTTTTGGTTCCGCGCTCACTGAATTTCTATGAGCCTGCCAGAATGAAGCAGGGAACAGCATCCCTTGTTCTCTTTTGGTGTTCTTCCCCTTGGTGGATTGGCCCCAGAAAGAAATGGCAAATAAATAAATTATCATCAACAACAAATCGGCTAAGGAGTAACAAGTTCAAAACTGAAAGAGGAACCCACTGAAGACCCCTTTGCTTTCAATTAATCCTAAAACTCTAAAGTTGGCACTAACCTAAGGGGTACCCCATGGAAGAGGAGGATCACAGATGGTTAAACATAATGATGATGTTCAAAAGGCAACCATGACATCTCAAAGCCAATTCTGAATAAAAGAAATACCTTCTGACCTGCAGAAAGAAGAGGTGTTGGGTGATCTCCTGCAGAAGCTCCTCTTCAACCTTCTCAGGGTAAAACTTCACCAAAAAACAAAAGTTCACTGGATCTTCTTTGGGAATATCCTGATCTAAAACCTGTTTGAAAAAAGCAACCAGAACAACTAAACACCTCCGATTGGGAAAAGCATGTTTGGCAAAGCAGAAGCCCAAAGCCACTGTTTCTTGCCATGAATTCATAATGTCACCTAGGACTCTTTTGCACCTCACCCATTGCTGGTTCACATGTGCTTGTAGCAACTTCTTAGCATCAATAGCCATGTAGGGAAATTACTTTAATTTACAACTGCATTTCAACTTTCCCATATTTAGATGCATTCAGATGGGTGCATTTTTATGTTCTGATCCTTGTCCTTTATTACCCATAAAAAAGGGAAATAACAAAATTGAGGAAGGCTTTCCTCCACATTTTCCACTCCCAAACCATTTCAGATTTACAAATGTAAATGTCTTAATCTTTCCCATTGTTTCCCATCTCCCTTTGCATATGAACTGATACATTTCACATATTTCCCCCCCCCCCTTCCCCCCCCCCTTTTTTTTTTAGTCCTGGGGGAAAGTAAAAGGAGAAAGATCTTGTCAATGATGCTAATGTAATCCCTATAGTATTTCCTTTCTCCAGGCAATTTCAGTGAAAGACAAAGGATAGAAAAGTTAAGATAAAGGATGAGTCCCTGGTATAGAAACATTCTGATTACATTCATATTCCAGTCTAGAGGCAAAGAGGATTTTAATTAGCTAAAGGGGTAGGGGGAATGTAATTTGAATATGCACATGAATATGAATGTGCACATGTGGTTTTTGGCCTAACCACCATTTACATTTACAAATTGTCATTGTAAATCAAGGATTGGCATAGATGGTGTCTGTCTGCTTTCAGGTCTTCTGTCTTTCAGGTCTTCTGACTTCATTAAACACATACCCAATTTCACCATTACAATTGTGATGGTGTGGTGCATTTTCCTTTTTTTTTTACATCAAAGGTAAGCTGCCTTATTCACTCAAATACTCTCAAAACAGCCAACTCCTTTGCCTGGCCTGGCTCCTTAAGTCCCTCTTCAAAACAGAGATTGATGATGATGATAATAATAATAATAATAATAATAATAATAATAATAATAATAATAATCTGGCCATCTCTGAAGAAAACTTTTAGAATATCTTTAGATCTTTCCAACTTGATGAGTATTGTTTTGTAATGAAAGTTTAGATTCCAAACCTTTTTATCCATCTTCAACCAAATGCCCATTCCTTTGATAGAATACCAGAGACCAAAGTACCAGGATTCTCGCAGCCCCAATGCGCGACACACCTGGTCAAACAGGTCTTTTCCTTTCCACTTCATCTGTGGGTTGCAATGGTACAGAATCAATTTTGAATAGATAGATAATAAGGATAATAGATAGATAATAAGGACATCCGAGTGTGGGGAAAAAAATCTCTATTCCTGAGGTATTCTAAATACATGATCTCAACTATGTGAAAAACAGAAATTCCAGAGCCTCTCATGATAAGTGCAAAATTCAAATTACATAATTTTGGCCTTTAAGAAAATTAGAAGTTAGGGCTTTTTTGTGTTCTTCAAGTTCATCTCCAACAAAATAGCAGGATTTACTCATTTTGCTGTTGTAACATGGTTTATTTGCTTGTGCTTAGTATGAATTCATCCTGCAGTTTTAACTGGTCAGCCATGATTTATGGTTTAGAGTGTTGTTTGTGCTGAATTAAAAATTATTACTATATAAACCATCATATAGCATAATATGTGAATCCAGAGGATGATTTAGAGTTTCCAGGCGTTAGGTTCAAAACTCAATGTCAGGTGTGGTCTTCAGCTCTCAGAATTCCAGCATGGTATATGCTGCTGCATGGCAACATCAATCAGAGTAATAATCAAGCAAGGCTTTGAGTAGTTGGGAAAAGAATGCAAAATTCCAAAGCTCTGTAATGCACTTCTTTACACTAGCATTTACACTACTATTTATTTGGCTACTCTAGAAAGAAAAGCCTGTAGTACTGCAGGTTTAGAATACAGCCTTCTCTTATATTTTCTTATATTCCAATGTTAGTTAATATTTGTTTAATTTATCAAATTAATTGGCTGCCCATCTTACTACAGGTTATGATCCTATTATAACAGGTAGTTCTCAACCTACAACCACAACTGAGCCCAAAAGTTCCATTGCTAAGCAAGACAGTAAGTTAGTTGTGCCTCACTTTTGCAATCTGTTTTGCCACAGAAGTTAAATGAATCACGGCAATTGTTAAGTGAAATGTGGTTGTTAAGTGAATCTGGCTTCCTCCATTGACTTTGCTTGAGAGTCATAGTAGCGCCATGGTTAGAAAGCAGTCTTGCAGGCTAACTCTACCAACTGTCAGCAGTTTGATTCTCACTGGATCAAGGTTGACTAAGCCTTCCATGCTCCTGCTGTTGGTAAAATGATGTTCAAAACAACCTGATGTGCCCAGGTTGTTGGGGGCAATAGGCTGATTCTGTAAACCACTTAAAGAGGGCTATAAAGCACTATGGAGGGGTATATAAGTCCAAGTGCTATTGCTATTGTCGGAAGCTGACTGGGAAGGTTACAAATGGTGATCACATGACTCTGTAACCATGCAACTGTCAGTTGCCAAGCAGCAGACTTTTGATCATGTGACCATTACAATGATTGTAAGTGTGAAAAACAGTCATGTCATTTTTTAAGTGCTGTTGTAATTTAATGGTCACTAAATGAATAGTTGTAATTCAAGGATTTACTGTATGCTTGTAGATTCCCTAGAATCAAGGCTTCAAATCTTTGCTTGCTTTCCTGCTTTGTTATCTTAGAAGTAGAGACTTATATCCTAAACTTCTGTTTTCCTTTCAGCATACTCAAGATCTATAAACATACCTTTATGACTTGTTCTCCCACAAAAGCCCCACATTTAACTCAGTGGTCCTTAAATTGTAATTCTTAGCACACATGAGATGTGATAATGCCAAGATAGCTTCAAAAACAAGTCTCAACAACAACAACTGTTCTGCTGCCTCCCCCTATTCCTTTAGAGATCTAAATTATGGGCAACTTCAATCAGACAACATTCTCCAAGTTTCTTTACTGAATTAAACTAGAAGCACTTATACAGCTAGAAACCGGGTATATTTAGAGTGCCTAATTATTGTGATTTGTCTTGTCACTGATACTAGGCAGATCATCCATTTGGAAGAAAAGACAGCCATGCCTCCTTTGAGATTGATAGCCCAGCAAAAATTATCTGCCATAAGCAGAGACTGAAAGAGAAGTGGCACTCAGAGATAGAACAGATATTCTTAAATAAATACTACAGATCAGTGAATGTCACATGAACCAGGTAAGAGGCAAAAAGCCTGAAAATTACTTCAATCTCAGTAGTTGAATCCAGTGATAAGGGTTGTTTTTAAAATTCATATCTTATAAATCCCTGCAAATGGACAATTAGCGTGTCAGAAAAAGGCATTCAATATAATCTTTTCCTTGATATGTCAGCTTTCTATATTCAGAGAGAGAGAGGCAATATGCAGGTATATAAATCTTATGTCATCTGTATAAAAATTCTGGCCTTTAGAAATCAACACAACAGCAAAATACCTCACAGCTGAATTCCATTTCAGCTTCCATTGTTGAAACTTTCACTTTAAACATTTTAGGCTGCTTCTTCTTTAGTCCCGTGATAGACATATTTTTAAGCCTGCCTGGAGTGGCACAATGGAAGAAAAGGTCTGAAAAAAAGAATATATGATTAGCAACATATTCCAAAGTATATTTTCTTAGAAACAATCTTCTTTTGACTTCTAATAGCAGGTTCGGACATAATGTTGCTGAATTCTGGAAGTTTTATTTAGCTTCTGATAGATTCATGGTTCACCATTGCTTTGACTAATCACTCTTATCTCAAAGAGTCCTATCAGCAAGCTTCTAGTTTATCTCTAACAGACCTATCAAAGAACCTTCTCTTTCTTTTGGAGGCCAGCCAGATGTTTTCAGAAAGCCCTCAAATCTTTCTCCTCAGTAAATAATATTTAGCATATTTCTGTATTACTATCATGGCAAACAACCATTCATTAATTTGATCCATTCTCTTGAAAGTCATCTAAAGTGATGGTTGTCCCAACGTTATAGCAAAAATTATCACAACTAGTTATAAAATTCTTGTGAGAGGGGTGGCTATATAAATTTGACTAATAATTAAAGGGCAGCAAAGCTTTAATTATTGGTGCCTTAGGCACCAAAAACAGCATAAGCTTTTAGGCCAAGATAACATGGGAGAAACAAGCCCAGACATTCATCAGAAATAAACTCTACCTTTTAGTCAAAGAACAAGTTTATTTTCCTTTCAAGTGAAGGCTGCAGGCAAAAATATCCCAAATGACATTTGGAAGATCTCTCTGGAAGCAGATAAAAATACGTCATGGAAAGGATCCAACCCAAAGACCATGTTAATTGGATAGTGTCAATAAATGTATTGAATATTTGTGGGGCTAAAAATAGGCTGGATTTACTAGGGAATGCAAATAGTTCGTGAAAACCAAGAAGATAAAAGTAACTGTCCTATGAAGTCAGCTAAATACCTATACAACTTGATTGAACAACTTACATTAAATCCTATAATTCTTTCCTCCTGCCTGTAATTCTGTACCCAAAGCGCTAGATGTTGCGCTAGATGCAGATGTTGGTAACTAAATATCACATCTTTTCTGATTTATGCAACTGACATAGAGTGAATCGAAAAGTCTATCCGAATCTTGGAGAAGGGGGAGAGCGTGTTTTTAAGGGGCGTTTTTAAGAACAGCAAACAAAAAGAATTCCAGGGCAAGTGACATATCACAACTGAGAAGTAATACCACTACTTCAGCTTCTGTTGGATTTCTGCATTTTCAAAGATTAAGTGTAAACTGGGAAATCTATTTTAGTTAATACAAATGTTTTTAAATCCATTCACTTAATCAATTCACTACAACCCTAATTTAAATATGTTTCATAGGTGGTAAATAACTCTTCTGCATTCCATCATTCTACTG